GATCATCTGTTTTACAAACTATTCTCAGGTATAATTTAAAATTCGTCATTTCAATGATTTTCTAATTGCTTAAGTTTGATTTACTTGATGGTACTCAAGTGATCTGGGTTTCAAGACATGTAAAAGTCAAATAAATCTGTTTCAAGGAAATGGGGTATTTAATTTTATAAAGTAAGTCACCAGTTTTTAGGGGATCATATAAATAAACATACTGAGTCTGTGGAGTGAAGATATTCTGAGAAATACATTCTGTTCATTTAACAAGTATTGAGCATATACTATGTAGCAGGCTGCTACATAGTGTATGTTCAATACTTGATGTAGGTACTGTGAATACAGAGTGAAAACTGGGCTAGCTCATCGCCTGCTTAATCACTACAAGAGAATATACTAAATGTAAAACTAAATAAATAACATGAGGGCGTAATTGCTATGAGAGATTAAGGAGAAAAAGGGTTAGAGTGTGATGCAGGTTGAAATGATAGTGAAAACTACTTCAGAGAGGGGTTAGGAAGCCTTTTGGAGAAAGTGTTATGTAGACAGAGATGAACACAGTGAGGGAAGAAGCCCAGGGAAGATCTGAATGGTGTGCATGGTAGGTTAGGGGATACAAAATAATTCAATATTCATCACCAAAATAATAAGCTGTATAACTCTATGAACTCATAATAATTTTCAGCTATCCCATTAATCAGATATCATATTCTCTCTTTCTAAGCATATGTTTTGCATATTGGACTAAGATAATATTTCATATAGCTTTACATAGTGTTTTCTAAATAACAATGGCTCAGGCTAGGATTAGGCAGATTAGCAAGGCTTTTAAAATTTCCTTTTTAGAGGATTATGTGTCATTTATTCTAAGTAAAATTCAGTATTTTGATGATATAGAGGTAAAGAGATTATAAGAAAATATTGTTCCCAGAAGTATTTGCACAATTACTTGAATGACAAGCATTGATTTCAATTAAATTTTCCCACAGATGTACCTCAATATAGATTTTTCTTTTTCTTTTCAAAGTGAAAGCAGACTGTTAGCGTCACAAGTGGAAGTATAAACAGAACTGAGCTACCTTTGGTCAGGAGATCTCTTGGGGGGGTATCCTTTAAGTCTGGAAGTCTCAGCCTTGGTTTTGCAACAGGAACAGTAAGGTAAGAGCCGAGATAGTTACTAAAATTTTCATATTTGTAATATACTTACTTTTAAAGGGAAATTAATACAGAGCAGGGTAACTTACCTAACATTCTCTTTTATGTACAGTGGAAATGCCTGTTCTTAACCCGATTGAAAAGATTAGTGTCAGAATTAGCTGTTGTGAGCAATGCTAGGGTTGAGTCAGGACTTTTTAATACCCTGCTTCTCCGTAATTTTGGGATGCATTCTCTAAAATCTGATCATGTCATAGGAATGTTGTCATTCGTATCATAGTGGGGAAAACAGTCTGAGAACTGCTTTTCCTATATCATAAAGCAAAATGCCCGTTAAGCTAAAATACTGGAAACAAGTGTGTAGATTTTATTCTCTGTATGTATTCTATAACTATTATTTATCATTGGATTCTATCTGGACCTTGGTAAATAATTAATGGCACATTTTTAGAAGTAGACAAAACTTTGCTTCAGCTTATGGAATTCATCAATGATATACATGGGTCCAATTTGCATTGATAGTTATCTCTAATATAGGTTTTAGCAAAAGTTTTAGTTTCTATCTTAGAAATAGTATGTCTGATTCTCCAAGAAAAGACAATATTTATTCATCAATAAGTATATTATTTTATTTTTTCATATTTCTTGCCTTCTGAAAAAAAGAGTTCATTCTGTGCAAGGATGAATGATCTTTTCATTACTTTTGAGTTTATAAGTTCTAAAAAGGTATCACTCAAACTTAACACTTACCATAAAAAGAAATCTTAAAAGACAAATATTGCACTAAATCAATCCATGTACTTTGGAAAGATATCTAGCAAAGTCACTAGGTAATGAATAATTAATTGGCTAAAGATTTTTTAAATCAATATAAGCATGAGGTTGAAGAGAAAGATGTGGGCCATTATTAGTGTTTAATCGACATAGTTTTGCTTTTCTTCAGATTTAAGGTAGTTCTGTTTTTTTTTTTCAATATTATCTTATTTGCTAGAATAATTCAAGATAAACCTTCATTCTGAATTATTCATTTACTGTATCTTTGAAGATTTAAGTTTAAACCAAAAAGCACACTGCCTTAATCCATTTTAGCTGCTATAACAAAATATCACAAACTGGGTCAATCATAAATAGACACTGATTTTCTCACAATTCTGAAGGTTGGGAAGTCAAAGATCAGGGCACTGTCAGATTAAGGGCCTGGTGAGGGCCCACTTCTGGGTTCACAGACGGTACCTTCTCACTGCATTCTCACATGATGGGAAGGGTGGAGCAGCTCTCTGTGATATTTTTTATAGGGCACCAATTCTATTCATGAGGGTTATGCCCTCATGACCTAGTCATGTCCCAAAGGCTTCACCTCCTAATACTATATCACATTAATGATTGGGCTCTGACACATTAATTTTGGAGGGACACATTCAGATCACAGCAAACAATAAATATTTTATATTTTGCAGAATTTTCAGGGATACATGTCACTAAAATATTTGTATATTACCTTTAATCCTAAACGCAATTTGTAAACAATAAAAAACTGTAACATCAAAATAAATTTTTTGTAAGCCAAAAGTAAGAGTTATTTTTCCTATCTAGAACCTTTTGTATAATCACGCCAGTAAATTCATTTAATCCGTATTGGGGTAAAAAGATACAATAGGCAATTTGGATGGTGATAATGACACTAAACTGGAATAAAAATTGGATTTATAGTCCTCTCTTTGCCTTTAACTAGCAAAGTGTCTGCAAATTAAGTAATTTACTGTCTAGATTTTAGTTACTCATCTGTAGTCTGATGGGATTCATTTATATGCCAACTGAAACATTCAGTTCTTCTAGTTCTTCTAAGTGTGTCTGTCCCACATCAATTCTTTAAGTAGGTTTAAATGGTAGTGACTTACTTTAAAATTTGGTATAACATGTCAACAGTAAATCAATGCAGAGTGTTACAGTTTGGATATGAGGTATCACTCCAAAAGCTCCTGGGTTACTACAGCAATATTCAGAGGTAAAGGACTTGAATTATGAGTCAAAACCTAATCTGTCTGTCCTCTTTTGAATGACTGGGTGGTAACTGTGGGCAGGTGAAGCCCTGGCCCCTTCTCCCTACTCCTACCCCATCTCTGCTTCCTGCCTCTGCCTTGAGGGAAGCAGCTTCCCTTTATAACATCCTACCCGCCAGACTGAGAACTCAGATACTGTGAGTCAAAATAAACTTCTCCTCTTCTAAATTGTTCTTGTCAGGTATTTTGGTTACAGCAATGCTAATCTGACTAAAGCAGAGGGTTCTTTTTGTTCTCTTATGAAAATAGCAGTGCTTCCTTGAAGCCTGTAATTCATCTTACTTTTATATTTCAATAAGATGCTACTAACATAAAAAGAATAAATCTAAAGTTTGATTATACCAAGAGGTTATACAAGGAATTTAGAACTAAACCCACATTGTGATAGTCATAAGAAACAATAAAAACATACTTTTTATTATCAGAAAATTGTATTTTCTAAATATAATATTTAAATGTATTTTATCTAACAGAATAATTTTAGAATTAATGTGTATCAAATTGAAATTCTTGAAAATCAGATGTTCTGTGGCAACAGGACTGGTAATTTATAGACTATATGCTCTAAACCCATACCCTGGGGAAAATCTAGACTATGGTATAAAAAGGTAGTCAACCAACTAAAAATACCCCACTCCAATAAAATCCTGATTTCAATTTCTATAACCTGGACTTTTTTTTTTTTTTTTTTTTGGGCAATACTGGGGATTGAACCCAGGATACTTTATCACTGAGCTACATCTCTAGCTGTTTTACTTTTATTTTTACTTTGGGGATAGGGGTCTTGCTAAGTTGCCCAGTCTGGCCTTGAACTTGCTCAGGTTGGCCTCTTCCTGCTCCAGCCTCCTGAGTAGCCAGGATTACAGGCCTGTGTCACCACAACTGGAAAGACTACGAACATGTTTTGACACTGCAAATTAGTCTGACCCAAAAAATCTCCTTGCCATAATTAGAAATAAAAGTATGTATTTCCAAATTCCACCACAATGAATTGGCATCTGTGTAAGATGAGAAATATATACAATAGCCACCAAAAAGTAAATTAATTAATTAAATAAAATCCTTCTTAGATTATAAGAGTAGTGTACCATCTTTAAGAAAGTAATGTCTTTCCTTTGCTCTCAATTCAAGTATTTTCTTTCCTACTCTATTGTGAATTCAGAAAGTAATAACATTATTTTTATTCTCCAAAACCTATGACTCTGTAGATATTTAATAAATGTTTGCTAAATGATTGAAAGGAAAAGTAAAAATTACTGAATATTGCAAAGAACAGTATGACAAAAGTTCTTCATTTTATTATCTATAGATGTAGTGTTATTCTTTTGGAATTTTTCTCCTTCAGGTTATATCATCTTCTTAGAAGAAAATACAAATTTAAAACGCTAGTCTTCTTAAATTATGCTATGAAATGTTTTCATTTAAAGTTAATTTTATGTAAAGTACATTTCTAGGCATTGTATTTTAAAGGCACCATTATAATTTACTAAGTCAAAATTGCTAATAATCGTGTAATGTAATTTTTGGTTGGTAAGCCAACAAATAACTTTAAATGCAATTAAAGATTGAATATACTTTGTTACAAATTCTTTGATTTTCCAGAGGAAAATTTTTATGTTCTACTCATACCTATAGTATTTTTGTTGTTTACAAAAATCTGATCTGAAAGCAAATGCCTCATATTGTTTTGACATAAGAAGTAATTCAGTGCAAAGATGATGGGAAAATATTTGCTGTATAAGAAAATGTCAAAAATCTCTTGTGAGAACAATTTTTATTCTGTGATTTCAGGATCTGAGCACAATTGAAACTGAGGTCAATCAAGTTAGACCCCAAGGACATTTTTTGGCAACAGTGAAGGGGGTAAACCAACAGGTCATGCAAAAGAACTTCAAATCCCCAACTTCTGTTCTTCAGTTTGAGAGCAAAAGCAACCCTATTGTGACTAGAAATGGGGGTTGTTTTCTAGTTAGGCATACCCCTCATCCCAGAAGAGTCTGCCATATCAAAGGTAAGGGGACTTAAGGTCCTAGGATATGTCTCTTTCCTCCACATTTGGTTTACTTGATGATTCTGGTGAGTTAACAAAAGGCAACTATTCAAAATATTTAACCACTGGCAAAGCATGCTCACTGACAATTAGGACCAAAAGCCAGCACCACAGCAAGTCTCTTTTCTGTTAGACATTAGCCATTGGATTGCTTGATTGTCAGGACAGGGGCCTGGAGAGGGGGTCAAAGTGACGAGGGCAATGGGGACCATTCAGGGGACTAAGGGTAGCATTGTCCAATTGGTTTAAAAGTATTTTAATATTTCAACTACAAGCGCAGCCTGCCATGTAATACGAGCCCTAAAGAAACATACCTTTTGTCTCTCCCTCCCTTCTTTCCTTTCTTTTTTATTCTTACTTCCTTTAACTTTATGGAACAGGCGTTGTGGAAATTGGATACTAATGACAATATCTTCTCAAAATATAGCTTGGCTTGAATCATAAAATGTGTATAGGTTTTACCAATATTTTGGCTTCTAGATGAAACAAAAAAGAGGTAGATTTTGTTTTGAGAGGTAGATTTCTCAAGATTATGAGTGTATGGAAAACAAGCAGAACTACTGGGACTTGTTAGAATGAACTTGTCACTTTGCCCAGGATGGGTAACTATGGGACATTAAGGGAGTGTATAGCTCCAGCTGTTGGGCTTCATCATTAGATCCTCAGACCCACCCCTGAGATTCTCACTTACTAAATAAGAACCATTGTTTCAGTGAGCCCCCAGCAGAGAGAAACATATCTTATTCCTGAAAAGTGAGACTAGACTATTATCATAATACAAATGAACCATCTTTGTCGGAAAAAGGCCTGAGCCTAGAAACAAAGAATATTAGGAGGCTGCTCAGCTGTCCAGACCCATCAGGACAAACATCCTTGTTCTGCAGTGGTACTGAGCAGAGGCAGAAAGACAAGGGTACTGAGCTGACCTGACAAATATCTACTACAGACACTGTTTAATTCCATCTTGACCTTTTAGTGGCATTTGACAAAGTTAACCACTAATACTTTAATTCATCCCTCCCTTTCAACTGCCCTACCTCCTCCCTTCCTCCCTTCCTCCCTTCCTTCTTTCCTTCCTTCATTTTTCCCCCACCCCAAATATTTTATTTAGCTTCCGTAGCATCATATGTTTCTAGGTTGTTGTTTTTTTCTCTATCCCCATGGCTTCTACTTTCCAGCTTGCAGTGAAATCTTAGAATCCCTCACAGGTCAACCGTTGGCTATTTCCTCTTTGTAATCTATACTCTAATCCTAGGCAAATACACTCATTCACACATTTTAAATGTCATAGATAGGCAATAGTTTCCAATACACATCTTAGACTTCTAAAATTCAGACCTAAATATTCAGCTGCCTACTTGTGAGGAATGGAATGCCTGATTGGAACCCTGAACTTCCTCTTCAAAACTAAACTCTTAGTCTTCTCCCAGAAGTGTGGTCCCCCCAACTAGTATACACTAATAAACAAGTGGTACCACAAATTTGAGGTTGCTCCTCACTCCTCCACCTTCTTCCCTTCCCTTGGCAATATTTCACTTGATGTTATCCCTTTTTCTCCTAAATGTTTAAAACATTCTCTCCATGGTCATGTTCACAACTCCATTGCCATTTCCTTTACCTTTGCTCTGATTCTTATTTTCATAATTTTCATCCTTCTTGGTGCTCTGTTTCCATTCTTACCCTTGTCCAATCCACTCATGATAGAGCAAACAAAAATATAACATTAAAATGTAAATTTGTTTAAAAATCCTATACCAAATCCTTCAGAGACTTGCTACGCATTTAGGATAAGATTGTTTATTTTGATATTAAAAAAAATGTTCCCTATAATGTGGACTCTGATTATTTCTTATTTCTTATGGCATCTCATAAACCCATTATATACATGCCATATTGGACTTAAGTTCCTTGAACATTAACAAGCCTTTCCCTTGGATTTTTACTCATTCTCCTCCCTCTAGCCATGAAACTTCCCTGTTATTTGTTGTTTCTATCACTTCAAAGAGACTTTCCAGGCTCCATATCCTCAATCTTAATTTGATTTTCCTACATGAAGTTTTATCATAGTACCCTATATTTTTCTACAGAGCAATATTTTTGGATCAGATTCCTTGGAAAGAGACTCTGAAATGGAGATTTGTGTAGCTTTATTGGGGAGTGCTTTGGGGAGTACCAGCTGTGAGGAAACAAGGGAAGCAGAATCAGGCAGAAGTTGAACTGCCACACAAATACAACAGAGGCCTCAACCAATCCCACAAGGGGCAGATGATCCTTCAGAGATATCTCAATTCCAGGCAAAGACACCATGCTTTTTGCTAACTCCTCATCCCCCACTCATTGGTTGAGCTCTTTGGGGCATGAGAGCTTCTTTTAACCAAGAGTAATTCCAAGAGAGGGACTTAGGCTTACTCAGAAGTAACTGATGGTCATGGCAGCTGGAGAGCTCAGCACCTATATCCTTAGTCCATGTTCTAGGCAAGTGGTGGGTCTACTGTAGCATACACTATAACAATAGTTGCAACTTCTGATTACATATAATCCAGTGAAAGAAACAGAAAAGAAATGGTCTGATATGCTGAGATAGAACTAGTAAAATGTCTCTGAGAATAGAGAGAAACAATTTTGAAGAAAGGAAACAATAAATGGGATCACAATCAATACATATAAAAAATAAAAAAATTTCCATCTGTTTTCCAAATTAGTAACCTCTTCAAGCTCCATTAAAGAGAATAGGAAGCATTTGAACCTATACACATAACTATCTTAAAATCTTACATTTGCTTGGTAGATTTCAAGCTATATTCTGATAAGTCTTAGAGATCCAGGCAAGAGACACAGAGTAAAATGATTCTAACAACAGAAACAGTAGGTGAAGAAGTTTGAGTATTATTATTGTGTTGCAAAAAGCAATATAAGCAAATGTCATAGCTGCTTTCAGAATGTTTGCCAAAGCCAGATTGTGAGACCTGTATGTATCACTTGTTAAGAGGCAAAAACACCACCAACAACAAAAACCCCAAACCTGTCCCTGCCATGGTAGCTATTACCTATCTCCAGGTTCTTCTTTTACTAAGGAGACTTTGTTCTTTCATTGAAAGAGAGCCTGGATTTCTATGATTTCCCTTCCTCTCTGAGAAGCAACAGTGGCCACCTTAGCTGCATCTGAGGGCTTTTCAAGAAATCATTTAGGAATTCTTATCTAAGTTTTTGACTAAATAAAATCCTTATGTTTGGTTTTCTTAGTCATTCATTCAACAAATAATCAAAGAGCCCTACTTTCTGATGGGCACTGTTTTAGGCACTGGGAATGGAGAGCAAACAAACCAGACAGAATCCTTGCTTTCATGAAGCTTATGTTCTAGTACAACTCAGACAAGCAATGTGCAAATAGGTATACTATGAAAAGTAACAAGTACAATGAGAAAAAGAAAAGAACATAAGGGGACAGTGAGAAATGGACTGTATTTCAGACAGAGTTGTCAGCAAAGACATTTTTATGTCATCTGAGCAAATAAATAAGAGGAGGGCAGACTAGCAGTACCGTGGGGAGATTTTGAAGACTGAATAAGTATGAAAACTCCAGCAGTTTGCCTGGTAATTTCTTGGGAGATAAAGTAGCCATCTTTTATTATCTCTTATAACCCACTGATAATGAATCAATGTCCTGTACATTACCATTTCCTAAGCTGTCCAATTCCACATGACTTTGCATTGATATTGAAAAAAAAAACTCTCTATAATTTTACATTTGAGCAAATTTCTATATTTGAATCAAAAGCAAACAACTGTTAAAAGAAAGTAAATGAACCAGAAGTCTCTGGTCAAGAGAGGTAAGGTCCCTTTGTACCAAATTCTTTACTACCCTCACAATCTCCTTTATCCAGCCTCCTAGTCCTACCTCCAAAAGCTTTTTACCATCTGCTGGGGCAAAAAAATCCAGAGTATCTTTTTAAAAGGACTTGTTCTGAATGCTTTCAAAAATCTAAAATTTTACATTGGTGAGAGACTTGGGTGAAAGGATAAAAGCACGCCTATTCATCTTAACTCTAAGACCAAGGTTAAAGATGTGGCCTGGTTCTTAAGGTTGATAAAATGCCAGAATATTTTAAGGAAGCATGTATTGCAAACAAAATTACCTATGCTAACTTTTGAAGAATAGCACCTAGCACTGGTTCATACATTTTGGAAGTCCAGTGCTGCACATTTAACAATACTTGGTTGAAAATTGCCAATATTTAAAGAAAAACTGCCTAAACCTTAATCTGGTTGTTTGATCTTTTTAATCTTATTCACCTAGGTTTGAATAACATTCCGATCTGTACTGTGAATGACAATGAGCTTGCTCTCGGAGCCCTGTATGGTGTTAGCCAGTTTGACCAGTTAGAGAAGGATGAGATACCACTTGCCAAATGCAATTATCCACCGAGTCCTGCTGCCCCAGAGAGTCCTGTCAGAGGAGTGTCACCAGCCCAAAGCAGAGTCAAAATGCCCCCAAGACCTCATTCAGGTGAGTTGCTCTCAACTGATGGAATATCTTCTTGGATCTCCTACAAATTACTGGTGTGGTCCTATATGATTGCTAAAATGGCTGTAGTGATTTTTAAATAGAATTTTCTCACTATGAAATATGTTTTTCAGTATATAATTATTTCTCTCTTCTAACGTCAATTCAGTACTGCAATAACATTAATAAATATCATTACTATTATTGTGTCCAACATGTATTTGGCATGATTGTAGTCTCTAATCCCTATAAAACTAGCTAAGAGAAAGGGGATATGAATGTTTAAGCTGATACCAAAAGGGAAACTACATCAGTCAAAAAGCAAGTCCAGGAAACAGTATGGACAGAATTGCTTATTTACATCTTCCCCACAGGACTACCATCTCCTTAAGGTCATGCCTTAGTGTCACTGCCTTCTGTGTTTTTGTAACCTTGGTTTGTCCTCAGGTCCCAGCAGAATACTTTCTAAATGAAGCTGATAAACTTAATCGAAAGCAATGTGTGGTAAAATCCAAAGGACAAGTACAATAGAAGAAAGGAATTCTGCATGGTAAAAATTATACCCAGTTCTCTCTTTCCTACTAAATATAAACACATGCTGTTACTAAAACTTTCAGAGTATATGAAAATTATTTTGGTATACTATAGTAAAATATATTTTTTCTAAAGTTAGTAAGAGTAATCATTTACAAAATACTTACTATGTGACACATACCATTCTAAGGTATTCACACTGGTTAATTCATTTTATTCTCTCAAGAATTCCTCCTCCACTCTTCTATTGGCAATGAAGAGCTAAAGTCCGCTTACTCCACTTTCTTTCTAGTATACCTTCCAATTCTGTAGCACCTGGAAACTTAAAAATTACATTTTCAAGACAGAGTGACTTCATAGGAATTAGTGAATTAGTGGTTGCAACCTAGTAAGATTTGTTAGCTGTAGGGGTAAGTTCATTTTTTTTTTTTTTGCTATATAATATCAAGCATGACTAGAAACTTGAATTTTCTAGCTACAGCATCCCAATATTCAGATTCTGCATTTATGGGTATAAACAAGCAAGGTCAACAGACATTGTAGCTTTCTGACTATAATAGCAATTCCAGTGCCTAATCTTCAGCAACATAAATGTGGGGCAGTAATCCAAGGGGCAGCAGCCTCCTGGTTCCCCTTCCTCTTGACTCTTTTAAAGGTTGTGCCTCCCAAGGTAGGTCAGGTCCAAGATGTTGCTCCTAGAGTAATTTGGAAAGGTTGAGATCAGTGTTCATAGCCCCAGTCCTTCCAACACTATTACAAACTCTTAATTATCTGTATTATTTACATTTTGGCTTAAAATTGAGTAGCTTCGATTTTCCATGAGTGAACACTAACATTACATATTCACCACAATTTTGTTTTCATTATTTGAGGAGAGATAACATTAAAGTTTATTTTTCTCTCTTTCTCTAGCTAGAATTAATGAATTTAGTTAGTACTATGAATATGTACAAAATATTTTCATCTTAAAATAACTGTTGTGTTAATTAAGGCTTTGGTAAAAGATAGCATCACTTACACAGAATATGTCTTTAAATTAAAGTTCAGCAAATTTCAAGTGGTTTTAAGGAGGGGGATTTAGTTCAATGGCCAAGTCAAAGTAGAGTTGAGAGACTAATGAAACAAGAAAAAATAAAGAAAGGATACAATAATAGGTCAGCACAAATATTCTCTGTCTTCAGGGAAACAAACACATAAATTCTATTCTAATTAGAAAATGTGACAGCTTTATGGGTATGAAACAGAGAAAAACATGTTCTATTGTAAGATATGTACTTTTCAATCAGTTTAACTGAATTAAGAAAGCACTTACAGTGTATCTTTATATTATCAGTTTGGGAATAGAATTAATATTTTAATATAAATGCACTTTTCTTATGCTGTTATAATTCAGTTCCATCTGAAATGTTTCCTAATATTTATATATACATCCCGGAGTTGAACTTAACCTAAAGTCAGATATACTCTCATATATTTCAGCAATTGACACCTTACATGATAGAAATTCTTTTTTAGTTTAATTTACATATATTTTTCCTAAACCTCATTTCAGAGCCCTGCAGAAAACTCAATGAGTGCTTCAAAACTTCCAGTGAAAATCCCTTAGTAATTAAAAAGGTAAAGAAACAACTATTTACAGCTATCTATTTAATTGGATTCTGTCATTTCCTTTTCTTTTCTTCACATATCTTTCTGAAAAGTCACTACATTGCACAATATTTTTAAAGCTTTACTAAAATATAACTAACATGATATAAAAAGCATATATTCAAAATACACAAGTTGATTTGACACATCCAGAAAACTAGCATTCCAATCAAGAGAATCTGCATATATATGTATGTATGTACGTATATATTAACTCCCAAAGTCTCCTCATGACCACAGCACTCCCAAAGCACTTTATATCACTTGGATTTAAAATTTTTATACAAATGAAATAAAATAATGAGTTCTCCTTTAAAATCTGATTTAACTCAGCATGATTATTTTAAGATTCATTCATGTTGTTTTGTGCATCAATAATTCATTCTTTTCTATTGCTGAGTAGTATCTAATTTTATGATTGTCTCACAATTTGTTTATCTGTTTGCCTATATTTTTTAATATTTACAAAGCTAATATGAACATTGTGTAAAAGTCTTTCTATAGATATGTACTGTCTTTTCTTTTGGGAGTGGAATAACTTGAGTCTCATAGGAATTTTATGTTTAAACTTTTAAGAAATGGCCACTGTGTTTTCCAAAGTGGTTGTAGCATTTCACCTCCCACTGTAAGTAAATAAGAATTTCCTTTCTTCCATAGACTTTCAAAACTTAGTTTTGGTCACTCTTTTTATTTTTAACCAATTTAGCTGGTAAATAGTGGTAGTTTATTGTGGTTTTTATTTCCATTTTCTTAATGACTAATGAGGTTGACATCTTTTCATAATCTTATTTGTCATACATATATCCTTTTACAGGAAGTATATGTTCAAATCTTTTGCCTATTTTTGACATTGGGTTGTTGGTCTTTTGTTATAATTTATAAAATTTCTTTTTATATTTCAGTTATAAATCTTATATCACAACACATATGCACATTTTGCAAAAGTTTTCTTCTAGTATGATACTTGCTTATTTTGTGTATCAGTGTTTTTGAAAAAAAAAACCCACAAAATTTATAATTTTGATGACACTGAAATACATAATTTTTGTATTATAGTTTCAAATCTGCCTGGTGTTTATCTCTATTGTACCTTAGTGCAATGGCTGAACTTCTAGAACACTGTTGAACAGAAGTGATGAGAGCAGACATCCTTGCCTGGAGTCTGAATAAAGGGGAAAACATTCAGACTTTAACCATTAAGTACAATGAAGTTTACTTTATTCATAGATGCATTTCATATGGTGGAAGAAATGTTTTTCTATTTATAGAGCTTTATCAGAAACAGGGGATGAATTTTGCCAAATGCATTTTCTGCATATGAGACGATCACATAATCTTTCTTTTCAGTCTGTTAATATAGTGAATTAATTACATGGGTTTAACTTTCAAACATTAAACCAACCTTGAATTCCTGGTGAAAACTTTATTTGGTTATGATATGCTATTCTTTTAAATATAAAATTTTAAAAAATATTTTGTTTATGTTCATGAACAATATTTGTAGTTTTTTTTTTCTTTCTTTTTTTTTTTTTTTTGGAGAGTGGGTGGCAGGAATTGAACTCAGGGGCACTCAATCACTGAGCCACATCCCCAGCCCTATTTTGCATTTTATTTAGAGACAGGATCTCACTGAGTTGCTTAGCACTTCACTTTTACCAAGACTGGTTTTAAACTCTAGGTCCTCCTGCCTCAGCCTTTTTCATGACTATACCAATATAATAATAATAATAATCTATACCAATGTTTGTTCTTTCATTACTTATATCAGTAATTCGTGTCTCTTTCTTGATGTGTCTAGTTAAAGATTTACCTTTTTAACTGATCTTCTTAAAGAATCAGAGTTTCAGACAGGCATAGTGACACACCCGTGTAATCCTAGCTGCTCAGGAAACTGAGGCAGGAGGATCATGAGTTCAAGCCAGCCTCAACAACTTATTGAGGCCCTAAGCAATTCACCCTCTCTCTAAATAAAATACAAAAGGACTAGGGTTGTGGTCAGTGATTGAACACCCTGGGTTCAATCCCTAGTACCAAAAAAAAAAAAAAAGCAATTGGGATTTCATTTCATTGATTATCTCTATTGTTTCTTCAATTCTATTTAATTGATTCTGGCTTCCACCTTTATATATGGTAAAAACTTTTTAAATTTCTTCTTTGACCCATGGATTACTTATTAATTCCACTCTAGTTAGAGGACACACTTTGCATTCTTTGAAACATTAAATTTATTGAGAATGGTTATATAAACCAAAGCATGGTCAATTAATTATTTTCCATTTTCCCATGAAAATAATTTTTATTCTGCCGCTTTCGGGTACAATGTAATATAATCACCAATAGGTTATGTTGGTTGATATCATTGCCCAAGTCTTCTACAGTCATTACTGATTTCCTATCTACTTTTTCTATAAATTATTGAGGAAAGGGTATTAAAATTTCTGACTATAATTATGGATTCCTATATTTCTCTTATCATTTCTGTCAATTTTAATCATATATTTTAACCTCTTATTAAGGAGTATAACTGTTAAGGTTTGCTATGTTCTTGGGATGAATTGATCTTTCTATCATTAAAAAATTACTATTTTTACTCCTGATGCTATTCTTTGCTTTGAAATCTACTTTAGACTTCAGACTTTCTATTTCTTCCTGAATCAATTTTAGCAAAACATCCTTTTTCTAAAAATTGTTATCTAAATTCTCAAATTTATTGGAAAAGTTATACATAATGCTCTTATAATCTTGTAAGAATATCTTCAGAATTTCTAAGAGGTACCCTTTTACAACATGTCATTATTTTTCTTGATTAATTTTAACAGAAGTTTTTATGTATTTTAATAGTGTATCAAAAACTTTGTGAATTTTTCATCCTCTGTTGAATATTTTTATTTTGTTGATTTTTCTTGTTATCATTTTGTCTATTCACATACTTTATTTATTCTAACACATTTTTCTAAAATGTGTACTTTAAAGCTATAAATTAATATTTATTGCTTTAGCTGCCTTCACAATTTTTACTAGTCAACATTTTTAGTAAGTTCAAAATATTTTCCAGTTCTCACTGTAATTTCTTTGGTTCAGGACCCAATTGTTGGTCATCTTGTATGAAACATTATTTGTAGGAATCTGAAACTCAAAGTAAGTGTGTTTTTCCCAGAGGGTTTACTTCTGTAGGAACCCAGTTCTGTCAGCTTAGACCAACTTAAACCAAGTTCCAACTTTGATTTCATTCTGTATTTCTTCAAGGATGAGTCATTCACACACACACACACACACACACACACACACACTATATATATATATAATATATATATTATAATTATATATATATTATATATATATTATAATTATGAGTTTTATGTGATTTCAACAAAAGTTAATAATATATCACTATTTATGTTGTCTCCAAATACAAATGTTTGATAGAATTTAAAGGAGAATTAAAACTATCCTCCTTTTACTTTCATGGATCTCTCTTATTTACTAGAATGTTTCTCATTCATTTTATGTTTAATTTGCATAGAAGTGGGAAATGCATATTGATTATAATATACTTTTTATTTAGGAAGAAATTAAGGTTAAAAAGTCACCATCACCTCCAAATGCATGCTATACTGCTGGATCCTGCTCTTCAGAGGCAATGAGCACCAAGGCTGATGTCAAAGAGAACACTGTTTGCATACCAAACTATCTGGATCAAGAAATAAAGGTAAAAGGCAGGTTTATTAAATCCATAACTTGGGAATAGCATGAACATACCAAAAAAACCTCATATAACTATTGTCATTAAAACTTAAGAATGGTTCCTTATTGATACATGAATATTTAAAACTACTTAGCCTGAAATGCAAGGCCTGTTCATGTTTTCATTTCTAATCATTTTACTTGTCCCTGGAATTCTGTCACTCATACATAAACACAAGCTTTGGTTTAGATGTAATGAAAAGATGGGCATTTACCAACCAAACCAGCCCAATTCTTCCCATGACATTATTTTCCTAAAACTTGAGAGGCACTATCCCTAATTTCTTACCACTTTTGTCTATTTCCTTGTTATATATTAAGGCAAATATTCTTCCAATCAACATTCATGTCTCCCTTCTTATTTTTGGAAAATTTCCACAAGTATTTTCTGCCTGAAGTTATAAAGTTAGTTATATTTTCTTGCCACTTTTGTCTATTTCCTTGTTATATATTAAGGCAAATATTCTTCCAGTCAACATTCATGTCTCCCTTCTTATTTTTGGAAAATTTCCACAAGTATTTTCTGCCTGAAGTTATAAAGTTAGTTATATTAATAGTAATATGTCACATTAGACTGGAGGGTTCTCCTCAGTCACAGTTATTTCTGACAATGACATATGATCAAGGATAATAAACTATCTGATATTTGTTATCTGCTATTTTTTTTCTTTGAATCACTTTGGTACATACCACATTGCCTCATTGTAAGACCCACTACAATGAATTAAAGGTCAAAAGTATTGTATTGATGACTCTAATATAATTTTAAATAATCAGTATTTATCGTAACAGTTATACATAACAAAACATGTTGTAAAGAAGGTCATTGAATAATTCTAACAAGGAACTATTTAAAAAATAAAGTGGAACAATGTTATAGAAATAAGCAGTGTTATTAATATAATAATTTATGTGATGGCTATATTGGGAAAAATAATAAAAGAAAAGATGATGTTCTAACTAAAGATAGTATACAGAGTCTTCAAAATCACCACCCACCTTACCTATAAAATTATGGTCACACTGATGTTTTCTATAATATGCTCATTTCTACCTCATAGGCTTATCCTCATAAGCATTCGTTTGCCCTTGATCCTCTGTGTAGTCACTTTCTTATTCAAGGTTCAGTTTAAATAACACTCAGAAATATTTTGCCTGACCACCCAATCTAATGTAGCTACCCAGTCATCCTCAATGACATTACCCTTTGTTATTTGAGCATAACATATGCCTTATTTGAACTGTTTGCATTTATTTATTTGCTTCAGTATTGTCTCTCTTTCCTCACCCCAGAAGTTGAGTCCTAGAAGATCTCATAGTTGTCCATCTTGTTTACTACTTCCTCTTCAGGGCCTAGATGAGTGCTAAAAATCTGAAAATTATAAATAAGTTTTTGTTGAATGTTAAATAAGTAAAACACAAGAAATATTCAACCAAGACCAAGGTAAATTTGTAGAAAATTAACTACATGGGGTTGACCCTGACAGTTAGAAGCTGAATGCAGTTTTAGTTAGACTGTCTTGCTTCTTTGGGCACGTCAATAGACTAAAAATTCTTATAGATCGAACTTTAGAGGTATCTATTAAAAAGCATTCCTCTTAAAGGCATCTGCCATGTTATAGACATAAATTTAACTGGACTCTGATTGATTAAAAAAAACCTACTAAAATGTAAACTCTTTGGAGATAGGGATCTTATATTCACAACTGATTCCTCAGCCCTCATCACTGCTTGAAAAATATTAATGGGCACATACAGCATGGCATTTTACTAGATAGTTGTTGACTATTTGTTAATTAAATAAATTAAGAAAGAGGGAACAAAATAAAAAACAGGTCTTATTAAGACTTTTGGTTTGTGTAGAAGAGTAACTGAAAGTTTAGACAGGAGGCACTGGAAATATAACTCACAATTCTTAAATTATATATGAAGTGGTATAATATTAATTCAAGGGACACTATGATATGTTAGGATGACTATTTTAATCCTAGAGCAACAAAAAAAGTATGGCTGAAAAGCTAATGAAGAAAATAAAGTTGAATGCTTAAAAATACTTGATTGATCCAAAAGGAAGCAGAAAAAAAAAGAAAAAGTAGAACAAAAATAGAAGAGAATTTTTTAAAAAGTGACAAGATGGTACACTTAAACCCATGCAAAAACAGGCTAAAAACTCCAATAAAAAGACAGATTGATAGACTATATAATAACTTTTAACAAAGGCCACTGCTTCAGCCTCTTTCAGATTCCCATTAGAACCCTAAGGAACAGTAGAAAAGGACCACTTTCCCAGAAGAAGTGAGTTTCTCCTACAGAAGATGTTGGAACTGACATAACAAGAGAAACACACAGCATTGCCTAGTCTAAATTATTACTTACACTGGTAATATTTTGCTAAAATTATTTTGTACTTTTTGAAAATGGGGTCCTGAACTAAGATCCCACTTGAGTTAGTTGATTATCATGGACGCGGGGAGATGAGATTATGAAGAAAGTAAAGGAAATGCTTTAAGACTTGTATAATTTTTTTGCTCACCCTGTAACTCTAATTAATGTTCTCTGTCAGATCTTGGCAAAGCTCTGTGACATTTTACATACTGATTCTCTGGCAGAAGTTACACAGTGGCTGCTTCATGCAAGTACAAAAGGTGAGATCAATATAAGTATTTGTAGATACTGAGATTCGGTTAATGAAAGAAACTGGGAATATGCCAATATCTGAAGTTTTCTACCTTGGATTTGCAAAGATAAGGCTGTAATTGTTTCTTCCATGTTTCAGTGTCAGGATCATTACAGTACTGTATTTCCAACTGCAGGCATGCTGGTCATTTAATGAACCCCAAATACAGTATGTTTCCAACTGAACTCATTGGGATGATATGAAACACCTAAGACCAGAGGAGACCTTATTCTCAGTTAGAGCTGGTTTGGGCTTCTGTTCCAAATTCCACACACCTAGAACTCTCCCTGAGCACATCCTATCACCTACTGTGAATTCTGAACATAGAGCCTGTTTCTCTTCTTTAGTATGGATGGCAGTAACATAGCTTTCCCAGTTTTGGACTCAGTTAACAACTCTGCCTATTTTTACCCAAACCATCAACATAGTTATATCTCAGCCTCCTTTGGGCTCTTACCACCTATCCCATGAAAATGCCTAAAATTCCCAACAAGCAGGGAGACCAAAAGTGACGCAGAGCAGCTATCCTGAAACTAAACTGGTCATCAGACTGACTAGAGCAAAACTTCTAAAGAGAATCTGCATTATCAGGTATCCTTAAATTTTTACAGCAGCCTATAAAGCTTTTGTACTCAATATTTTTAAATTATTCCACTGCTATTCAAAGACAGTGACTTAACTACCCTGAGCACTGTACAGTATCATAGGTCAACAGAAACTAGGTTGAAATGAATGAACTTTTCTGCAGCAACATTTACTCACATATAGTTACCTACCTGGAGAACAGATCGCCAGCCTTCACACTGGTGTGCTAGAACATCATTTACTCACATATAGTTACCTACCTGGAGAACAGATCGCCAGCCTTCACACTGGTGTGCTAGAAATAAGTACTAAGTCTGTGCTTCTAGCTAACATGATAATGACAACTTCCACTCTCCAACTTTTTTTTTTTAATCAGAAAAAGAGTGGATCTCAGCTTTGATTCATTCTGAGCTGGCTGAGATACATCTATTGAGTCGCCGCAGAAGAAACACCCCAGTGGAACCAGCAGGAGAGACTGGGAAGCCATCTGCAGTTAAATCACCCACTACGATCAAGTCTCCCTCAAATTCACCTGCAAAGTCAAAGGTGCTGACTGGAGCTAAGGATGGATATCAACCAACCAGGTAATTAGATATGGTCACTTAAAGGGCCTATAGTTATATAAAGGGTTTGAGTTCTCTTGTTTATCTGTCAAAATGCTAAATATGCTGAGGTTCAAGTCTCAACTCTGCTCAGTAAATGACTGCAATATGTATGTTTTCTTTCATTTTTATATGTAATATGAGAATTGTTCTCAAGTCTACTGTTCAGAATATTTTGGCAGGGGCTATGTCTTCTTTATCCAATAACCTTTTTTTTTTTGAGGAAAATTCCCTTTTCACTAAGAGCAAAGCAAGAGTAATTTTTTTTTCTTTCTCCAAGAAAGAAAACCAAGAAAATATAGGGGCTTTTTTTTTTTTTCAGTTTAACTAAGAATAGAAGCCATAAAGAAAACCGAAAGTATAGTATTATGGTTATTGTATATTTTGTTAAATGAACATCATATAGGCATGATTTTTGTGTAGAATAATAAAGATAAAAATAAATTGTTTCACTTAATTTTTCTGACACTCCTGGGGGCTTTAAGAGAGAAGAATAACCACTAAGGAAATTGGAAATTATTTCAGAAGAAATTTTTCTTAAACTATATAATTTCAAGAGCAGAAGATTAATATATTTATTATGTATCATATCATGTTGAAAGAATGTGTGGTAAGGTATTATTAAAGCTGAGGAAGAAAATCTTGTTGCTTTAAAGTTAAAAGTTGGTAAAACTTAAATTCGGAGAAAATTAATATTAAAAACATAATTTGTCACTTTAAAAGCATTAAGACAGAGAATTTTATATTGTAATTTGTCTCTATCATAAAGTATCCATAAAATCAGAAACTAGGAGATAGTTAGAGCCAATCTCCACCTTCATGACTAGCATATGGACGTTCTAGTTAGATATTTACTCCAAGTAAGAACTTTTTGTTAGGAAGTAAATTTAATACAACATTAAAAAGCAAAGAACTGAGACAGCATATTTAAGATAGATATATGCTGAGTTTGTTGATAGAATAGTCTAATTTGTATCTGTGAAATTAATTTTTTTTCTTTCTCCAATTGATTCAGAGCATCAAGCCAAGAATCTGCAGGAAATAAGGAAGTAGCAAAAGGTTAAGTATAGTTTGTGATAATTACTGAGTCGGTATAAGGAAACCAGCAAGTACTAACTACTTAGGGACATAGATTTTAAAGATTTGTGCTTTTACAAGAAAAAAGTAAAATACAAGAGTGATTTCCATCAAAACTGTTAAGGGACCACATCTGCTGAATTTCTCATAGAGATGAATTTAAAATAAATTTACCTTTGTTTTGAAAGGCAAAGTGCCTCATCAGGGACAGGGACATTCTTAGAAGCAGGACAGCAGGACAACAGAACTATAGGTGTAGTCATGCAAACTCAATGAAAAGGAAAACCCTGCATTGACCTACAAAAGGATGATGATCTCAGAGTTTTGGTTCTTTACAGCTTAACTGTCATAGAGCTGGATGATTTCACTGGATACAAAGTCAGCCAGAGAGACGAGTAAAATGGCAACCAGCCACAAGCAGGTACCCTGTAAGACAGGTGAAATATAATAGAAAAAGAGCAGTTTTGTGTTTCCACCAGACAGATGTCCAGTACCAGACTACAATATGGACCAGAGAAAATAATTGTGAAAGTCCTACTTTGGTCCAGAATAGCCCAAGAGAAGCACCCCTGTGGATCTGGCAGCTTCTAGATTTAAAACAAGCATGGCAAATATGACTACAGAGAAACAAACCTTCAAGTATATCTATAAGCTTTGTTATTTCTCCAAATTCCCCTCATACTAGGAATGATATGCTAATTAATTAGAGTCCCATGGGGTCACTCTAGATGCCAGCAGTTCCATTGGGGTTAACCAAACCCAAAAGTGGCTTTATGTGCTAACAGACAATAATAAGTGTAGTTTAGAAATTAAAAAGCACTCGTTACTCTAACTATGAGGATAATCTACTGCATCTGGACTCTCCTACCAAACTTCCCACCCTAGGACTATAAAATGATGACATTGATGGTATCTAATTAACTTTGTCTTACTTCAGGACCCACAACATTTTTCCCTGTTAGATACCTAGAAATCCCTCAAATTATGCCCCTTTCACTCCATTGTTGTTATTCAGCATCTTTACAAATTTGTATTGTTACTTGGGTGCAATTATGTAGGCTATGGAAGTAGTGTATGGTACAATGAATGTGTTTTAACCTGTATCTATTCTCTTATTTTATCTATCTGACCATAGACCTTTCTCCTTTCTCTCACTGGTCCAATACTTGCCTACCCCTCTTACTCATCATCAGTTCTAAATCATTCCTACCAGAATCACATTTGTTTCTAAGAGTAAAAGAGCATAGCCTGCGTGTTATAGAACACATAGCTCATTAAAGATGAGTCAGTGGTAAGAAATATGAGAAGAGATTCTTTTATGAATTTTGGCTGTTTCTGATTCACCTAAACTTCATATGATGGTTTTTTTTTTTTTTTGTATATCATTTAATACTAAAATAAGGTAGAAGCTATACTCAGTATCTCAAACATGGTCTTATTTATATATACATATTTTTTTCTATTTCAGCTATACTTAGGTGTCTCAAATATGGTTTTATATATAGATGTATATTTTCTGTTTCAGGAGCTGAGAACAAGACCCCATTGTTTATAAGAAAAAACAACCTGAAAATACCTATTGCAGAATATTTCAGCAAACCAAAGTCTCCTTTCAGGTCTAATAATCAGGAGAGTTATATTATTGGGTCAGCAAAACCAATGTCTGCAAGGAGTATACAAGGATACAATCTTTGTCCTCAAAACTGGTCTTATCCTTTAACATACCAAAGGTAGAAACTGTACACTGAGCTAATTCTTTCAGAAATTTGAGTTTCACGTTAATTAATTTAAAAAAATCAAGCAGTTCTCTTATGGTGGCACAGGTAAATCTCAAAACACGTGTATATAATGCTACAAATAAATGTTAATGAAGACAACAGCTTCATCTGTAGTTAATTTTTAATATTACATGAAAAAGAAACATATTTATTTAAATATTGTTTCCAATCTTGCACTGTTATTTTTAGTACGTAAGCATAGAGCTCTGATACTAGAAAATAACACCCATAATTAGAATTGATAGATTCTTATCTCCAACTATTAGAAGAAAAAATATTTAAAGCCTAACTCTGAGAATTTCAACATTTGAGCTGAGTTTTACAATCTACAGTATTTCAATGCTGTTGGCCTATCTGGAAAAGTGCTCAACCCCTACACCCTGGCAAAGAAAGAAAAAAGATACAAATTATCCCTAACTCAGATAGGGATATCTGAGCCAGAAAGGAGCTGTTTTGCATCCACTGCTAATGTTGAATATTAACAGATTTCCTAAAATTGAATTTTCTGTATTTTAAAGTTAACTACTTTGGCCATATCTATTAGTGTGGGACTGGATTCTATCTACCAATCATCCAGGCTTTCATTTAGAATGTTTGTATTGTTATTTGAAAGAAATACTATAATTTTCATGTGTGCACACATGTTTCCATTTGTGTAAATGTAATCTTAATAATAAAATTTATATCCTATCAGGAATCATTCTAAACATTTTAGATATAGTAACACTTAATTTTCACAAAAACTATTTCTAGTAACTACTATTATTACTATCATGTTTTAAAGTAAGATAACTGAGGCACATAGAATTACATTCATTGGGATAAATTGTAACAAGTGTCATCATTCAAATATAAGAGAGGTTTATTTCTCACATATGAGTCCAAAGTGTGTTTATAGTCAGTGGATGATTTTGGCTTTACTTCATGATATTAAGGCCCAAGATACTTCCATCTTGTGGTTCAACCATCATAGAGGGCTTCATTGTCAATGGTATCCAGCAGGCAAAAGAGGAAAATAAGAGTGGAGGAAAGTATTAGTTTCCTATTGTTGCTATAATAAATTACCACGTTTAGGGACTTAATGAAACACAAATTATTCTCTTACAATTCTGGAGGCTGAGGTCTGAAATGAATCCATCAGGCAGAAACGAAGCTGTGAGCAGGCTTTTTTTTTTTTTTTTTTTGAGGTTACCCACTCTTCAGTTCATGGCTCTTCTGTCTTCAAAGGTAACAACAGCCAGTAGAGGTGGTCACTCTGACACTGACTCTTCCACCTCTTCCTTTCACTTTAAGGACCTTTGTGATAACATCGGGCATGTTATCCAGGTTAATCCAAGATTACCTCCTCATTTTAAGGTCAGATGATTGGTAATTTAATTCCATCTGTAACCTTAAATTCTACCTTATCATGTAACACAACATAGTCACAGGTTCCAGGTCTTCAGATGTTTGGGTGGACTATATTTTGCCTTCCCTATGGAGAGTACATCTGTGCTAATTTGTATTATGTATTTGTAATTTTTTTCTTGATTTGGTTAATGTTTTTTACATTTCACTATCATTTTTTATAAGAACTCTTTCTTGGATTTAAATATGTTTAACAATTTTCCAATTTGGATTTCACTTTTTAAATTTCTTATTATTTCTTTAGGGCCATTATCATTGTATTATCTTGAATATTTTAATTAACTCAATGTCTTTTATTAGCTTGTTTTTAAGGTGATTTTCTTCTAATCACTGCTTTCACAAGAACTAATATGTATTTTCATTCCTAAATATTTCCAAAATATTTTACAATTTGATTTAACTTCATCTCATTTGAGAATTGCTTGAGAAAAAAATTAAAAAGTTCTAGGTGGTAATGCTTTTATCCTATGCCACCAATGTTATTTTATAGATTAATGTATGGTTATCAAGAGAAATTTCTATTTTTGGAAATTTATTTTCCTTTGTAGTCTAAAATAGCTACTTTTAGGAAGTTCCATAGCTAATGCATTTTTTTGTTTTTCACCTATAGTACTCATATTTCTTACTATTACATCTAATTCTTAAATTTTTTTTCTCATCTGAATACTATGCTACCTAGAGCACAGATATATGCATAACTGTTGTTGTTTAGTAAGGACTGTGTTTCAGACTATAGTATCCCTTCTTTTTCTTATTTATAAAGTGCTGAACCTTACCCAATGCTAGGATTGTGACTTCTATCTTCTTTTCATTAGCCTGCTATATCTTTTTTTTTTCAACATTACTAACTTTATTCAAATACTGCATGTATCAACTTTATAAAAATCCAATCTCATTGTAGGCCACTTATATTTGCTGATAGGACATACAGATGTGGTCATGTGTAGATGTTTTGTTGTTGTTGTTAGCATTGTTTTTATTGCTTTTATAAGTGTTTCACTAAATGATCTATATTTGTTTTGTTCAGTGAGTATTCATTTAGAATAGAACATTTATAGTTTTTCAATCTTGTCTAAGCTTGGGTTCTTCAGAAAGTAGAACCTGAAACAAAAGCCTACTTATTACTATTTTTTTAGTGTGGCCAATGCCAAGGTGGAAGAGTGAGAAAAAGGGCAATGAGACAAGAAATGAGAGGAAGTCAGTATTAGAAATACATTGCCATGCTACTTATTAAATAAGCTACTGCTCACTTAAAAACACAATTGTTTGCTCAAACTCTAAAAGGGTTTTTGACGTAACATTCCTACTTCATAAATAAGGACACTGAGATTTTAAAAGGCTGTATAACTTAGCCAAAGCCCCACAGCTAACAAGTAGCAGTGCCAAGGTCTGAGCCTCATCGAATTCCCCATTCTTTACATCAACTATATTCCCTCTCAATTCTGTCACTGATTTTCTTCTCCACATTTATTGAAAAACTATTGTTAAGTGTCTGGCAATGAGCTAGGAAAAGAGATAAATCTCTATGCTTTAGGAGACCAAAGTTTGACTATATAGGCCTTTGCTATCATTAATTCTAATAATATGTCATTCACTTCTGCCCATTTTTCCTTTCTTATCTCACTTTATACCCGTTGTCTGCATGTTCTCAGTGGTCTATGTGTAATTCTTGCCTTTTATCTCTACCACCTCAGTAATCCTTTCCATCTATAAAGTTAATTATCACTTTACCTTATAGTTGCCAGTTACTGGTGGGTTTCATCACTCTGGGTATTTATCTCCTAAAAACTTTTTTTCTTTTTAGTAGAATTACTTTCCTTTTTCATTCTAAGCATTTTCAAATTGTACAAGATATCAAATCACTGATCTCAGGAATAACAATGTAAAGAATGCTCCTCTCCTTAAAAATGAACTTTGTTTATGATGACCACAGGTTACTGAAGAAATTAAATGAGGAGAAATCCCATTATTTCAGCAGACATATATCCTTTTGATATTTATTTATTAAATTAATTCCTTACTTTTATTAAGTCCCAATGTAAGTGACTTTAATATTATTAACTAATAATACACTAAATAAACCAAAAAGTATTGGAAGGATATATTAAAATGAGAGAAAAAGCTTTAAATAATATTCTTAAACCGATTTTCAAGTACCTCAGAAATCAGTTATTTCAAAATAACTGATTGGTAATCATTGCTGCCTTTTCACCAATAGCCCAGATAAGACATGGGGTAGTAATGGGTAGAATTGTTTCTCCCCAAAATATATATCAAGTCCTAATATGTGGTACCCACGAAGGTGATCTTATTTGGAAACTGGGGCTTTGTAAACATAGTCAAGTTAGGATAAGGTCATATTGGATTACAATGAACCTAAACCAATGCTAGTGTTCTTCTAAGAAAAAAAAGTTTGGACATAGACATGGGACACGAGGACAGAAGACCATTTGACAAGGCAGATTGGAATAATGCAACTGCAAGCTGAGGAACACCAAGCATTGCTGCTAACAAGGGGCTAGGAAGAATTCTTCTCTAGAACAATTGAAGCACAGCCCTGTGACACTTTGGCGCCCAGAATGGTTACAGAATAAACTGCTGCTGTTTTAAGCCACATAATTCGTGGTGATTTCTTATGGCACCCCAAGGAAACAAATACAGCATGTCTTTACAATTAATGAAAATTAAACTATGTTATACCTGAATGATTTTTCTTTACCTTTCATAATTAAATAGTGCTATATTCCATAAGGAATAGTTTAAGTAAAAGGCGTATTTCATACTAGCAAACTAAATTTACTCAGAAAAATTTGAACTTCAGAAAAGTACACATTACAACATAAGCTTTGTTCTTTTACAAGCATAGGGCTTTTCTTTATTGACATACCTTGCTTACAGATTTTACTTTAACTACAAAAGATTTTTAAGAATAAAGCAACAAAAATAGTAAGCATCAATTCTATAATAAACTTCCTACTAAATATGTATATAACTTATACATGTTATGTAATTGTTAAGTATAACATTCACATATTTAAAAAAAAAAAAGAAAGAAAGAAACTTACTTTGCCAAAGCTCAGTGAAGGTACTTGACATCTTTAGCTGTGACAGAGAACAATCACTTTATTTTAAATACAACTTCTCTACAATCACCATTTAGAGCCTAAAACAGATCATTTTTGCTCCATGCTCCCTTGCCAACTTTTCCAAATGAATGTTTGGTTATGGATTTTTGTGTTAATGAAATTCTAATTGCTCTTAGTGTTTTCAATGCAACCACACAAATAATACAAATCAGTCTGTTTTCATCAGTTAATAACAGAACCATACATGCGGACAGACAGACCATTACACACGTATTTTTATACATGCACGTTATTTACAGAGACACACATTTACGTTAGTTTGAATATTCTTATATGATAGACAGATGCACGATATTCACCTTAAAAGTCAACAAATATTTTTTTAAAAAAATATATGTAAGGAAAGGATAGCTCATAAGGACTGTTATGTTTTAAATCAGGTAAAGACAAAATTGATCCTTCAAAAGTAACAGCCTTATAAAATAATCTTGCCTGCAAAAATTGGATTTTATAACTGAAATAATTTGTTACCATTATAGGAATTAAGAAAATGAATTAAAGAGATTTTCTACTATTTTGTAATTACTTCAGAACCATGAAAAGGCCACAAAGGAAGCACAGGTGTGCACTCCACAGTCCAAAAGAAATGAATTATTAAGTAGCAAATTGATATTTTTTAACTAAATAAATTGGATGTAAAAGCTGCAAATGGAAGATAAGCTCTCATATATAACATTTTAATAGAATTACAGGGCATTTATGAATATCTGCCCCCCAAAATACATACACAACAGATTAGAAAGACACTGATATAAACAAACATAAAGGTCATTGATATGAACTGATAGGTCAGAAGGCACATTCTGAAGAATATATTCCAACAAAGAAAAGAGAAATAGGGTATACTAATAAAGTAAAATTCTCTAAAACTCTTATTTGAGGCTTAAAAAGTAATTTAAGAAGCAACACAAAGTTGTCTTATACATAAACAAAAATTCTTAGAGTTTAAAGGGTTTTTCATCACCATTTAGCTCTAAAGAGTTTTTAAAATTCACAAAATAAATGAGAAAATAAATTTTTTTCCAATTTGAATATTTTATGAAGCACCTCACTTTCTCCTAATTTTTCCTTACTAAAAGAAAAACAGGTAATGTTAGTGTGGTGCAGATTGCATTGTAGATTCAGTGCTATTTTCCTTATCCTGTTGTTCATCTTTATGTGGTGACTCTGTTTCATTTTTGCTATATTCCTCTTCACTGGAATCACTGTCCGATCCATCTTCAACCATGGCACACTGCTTGTCTTGGGAAGAACTTTCACAGGCTTTGTCTGTGGGAACAGCTCCTTTCCTCTGGGGTAAGATAGTAAAAAATGCTTCTTGCCAGTTTCTTGTTTCCAGGTATCCCAGAATAATCTCAAATACTGCAATAAAGAAAATACCATACATTTCTTAGTCAAGTTCATCATAATGTTAATATTATCTTTAAAAACACACTCCTTTTGTGTTAACAAAGCTAGCTTGTCCTATTAACAAGTTTATTCTTATTTCTTCCTTCTCCTTTGGCTATCAGGGGCAATATGTTCCAAGGTTCTCAAACCCACTGCTTCCTTTTCAGCTTTTCCTCAATTTGGTTCTTAAGCACACAAAAGCTTAAGCAATATCCCTTGTCAATTATAACCAAGGACCATTTTAGTTTCCTTCCTACTCTTTTTTTTCCCTTTGTTTCTTTATCCTTTATGTAATATACAACTAAAAACAAATGTTTAGCATTCATCTAAATTTCTTCTTTCCTACAAAGAACTTCTTGCCTGATTTTTTTTGTTGTTGTTTTGTTTCTTAGGAGTAAAGAATATCAATATTGTCTCTAAGAATTCTCTTTTCAACACAGAGATGAGGGGTTAATTTAGATTACTTTTTGGAAAAGTAATTTCTATTATGTATCAAAAATGTTAGAAGAAGTTCATTCCTTGAATCAATAATTTCATTTCTATAACCCTCCAAAGCCTGCTATATAGAAAGTATTTAGGGTTCCTAAAAAATATTTAAAAATCAAAACTCTAGGCAAAGACTTAGGTCTAAGAAAGATAGTGGAATAAGATGGACATCATTACCCTAAGTATATGTAAGAAGACACCAATGTTGTGAATATATTTTGTATACAACCAGAGATATGAAAAATTGTGCTCTATATGTGTAATATGTATTGTAATGCATCTGTTTTCATATATAACAAATTAGAATAAAAAATTTTTAAAAATGTTATTCACGATAGAAAAAAAGAAAAATAAAATAATTCAACAATAAGAAAATGGTTAAGTTACCACACACTGAAATGTTGGAATGTTATATAGCCACAAATAGATGAAGGGTATTATGGTTTCAATGTTGTGTGTCCCCCAAAAGCTCAAGTGAGAGAAATGCAAGAAAATTTAGAGGTTAAATGACTGGATTAGGAAAGCCTTGACCTAACCAGTGCATTAATCCCCTGGTAGAGATTAACTGGGTGATAACTGTAGGCAAGTGGGATATGGCTGGAGGAGGCAGGTCACTGGGGCATGCCTTTGGGGTATATATTTTGTCCTAGGTGAGAGGAGAGGTCTGTTTCTCTCTTTGCTTCCTAGTACAAAGTTCCCGGTTGCTTTCCTCTGCCACACACTTCTGCCATGATGGCTGCCTTTCCTCTGACCAAGGAATAAAGCTGGCTGTCTACAGACTATAACCTCTGAAACCAGCTCGATTCCTTATTCCCCCAAATAAGCTTTTCCTCCTAAGATTGTTTTTATCAGGTATTTTGGTCACAGCAGCTAAAAAGCTGACTAAAATAAGAAGAAAAGAGATTAATAACATTGTCCTACAGTAGGAATCCAATTATATAATAAATATTATAAATGCACAGGCAAAGAACTGGAAGAAAACACACCAAAAAGTTAATATCAAGTTGTAAAATTACAACTAATTGTTCTTATACTTTGTTACACTTTCAAAATTTTCTAAAATATGCATAATTTTTTCTATTAGTTAAACAAATCATAAATGGTTACTCTTTATAATTTTTGTTCTCCAACAAGGATTAATATTTTCTATTTGTTCAAATCTTAATGTTATGCTCTTTTTCAAAATGTGCGCTGATGTATCTTCTTAGTACCCCCTATACCTTACCATGATTAACTGCCAAAACTTTTCGACTATTCATCTTCACAAAACTTCCAAGGGGGAGCTGTGCATGATGAATTCCAAAATCTGATGCTTGTTTATATGTGAATCCCTAGAACAAAGACAGTGTGACTTAGGACTAGAACATTAAATTATTTTAAAGTCCATAACAGTATAATTTTTAAAGAAGACTTTAGTTCAAAGAATATTATCTGAAGGATGTGTATGTATAACTACTAATTTGGAAATATTCTCTTGACAATTAGGATATTTAAAGCATTTGTTTTAACATTACTATTTAAAAATAAAGAAACCAAAGAAATTATATGTCCTGCCCAGTTACAAAGCTTTTCGATGGCAGAACCACAAGAAAAATCTGGCTCTCTTTTGACTACCTTCATCACTGCCTATTACCCTTCTCTCAGTTTAAAATATACAAAATTCTGAGGGAAGTACTATCACTCTTTCAATAAATGTAAGAAATATTTTTTAAAAAACTGGACTATTTGGTAACTATATCTGACTACTTAAAATTTAAATTGATTACAATTTTTAAAATTCAGTTCCTCATCTCTAATAATTAAAGAAATGCAAATCAAAACTACTCTAAAATTTCATCTCACTTCAGTCAGAATGGCGGCTATCAAGAATACAAACTACAATAAGTGTTGGTGAGGATGTGGGAAAAAGGCACACTCATACACTGTTGGTGGGGACTGCAAATTGGTGCAACCAATATGGAAAGCCGTACAGAGAATCCTTGGAAAAATGAGAATGGAACTACCATTTGACCCAACTATCCCTCTCCTCGGTCTACACCCAAAGGACTTAAAAACAGCATACTACAGGAACATAGCCACATCAATGTTTATAGCACCACAATTCACAATAGCTAAATTGTGGAACCAACCTAGATGCCCTTCAGTAGATGAATGAATAAAGAAAATGTGGTATATATACACAATGGAATATTACTCAGCATTAAAGAGAATAAAATCATGGCATTTGCAGGTAAATGGATGGAGTTAGAGAATATAATTTTAAGTAAGCCAATCCCAAAAAAACAAATACCATATGTTTTCTCTGACATAAGGATGCTGATTCATAATGGGGATCAGGGTGGGGAGTATGGGGGGAATAGACAAACTCTAGACAGGGCAAAGGGGAGGGAGGGGAAGAGAAGGGGCATAGGAGTAGGAAAGGCAGTGGAATGAGATGGACATCATTACTCTAAGTACATGTATGAAAACATGAATGGTGGGACTCTACGTTGTGTACAACCAGAGATATGAAAATTTGAGCTCTATATGTGTAATATGAATTGAAATGCATTCTGTTGTCATATATAACAAATGAGAATAAATTTTTTTAAAATAATGGTAATACCCAGATGATAAGCACGCGCGCACACACACACACACACACACACACACACACACACAAATTCAGTTCCTCAGTCATACTGTATGAAGTACCCAACAGTGACACAATTACATATTGGGCAAGCAGATATGATTATTTCCAATGCTGCATAAAGTTATACCTACACAGTGCTGCTTTTCAAGAATAAAGAATTAGTTCATGACTAATGACAGTATTTCCTCAGACACTTAGTAAACATGCTTTTTCCTTAGCTGGGTTAAATTCAGCATGGAAAGAAGCTGGCAAAATACAAAATGATATTTTCTTTTAGAAACTGAGACAGTATCTTTTCCCAATACAGCATAGTGCTTAAGCACACAGAGTCTGCATCGGTCTGTCTTGTTTCAAGTAATTTGCTTTGACACCAATCACTACTGCTTTTAAGATTAATTTCTTTGTGTCTCAGATTCCTCATCTGTGAAATGATGATAATAATTGCACTGACTTCATTGGGTGGTATTATGGGTTAAGTAAGATAATAAATGTGAAATTCTTAGAAAGATCAGCTATTATTTATTAGTAGTTTTGTTATGATGAAGAAACTCCGAAATATGGATTTTTAAGTACAAGCAAAACCAAAAATAAAACTTAACAGTACCTTATGATGATTATGATCCACTAATCCTCCAATCACATATGCCTTTGATTCATCTAATTCCTTTAGTATATTAGGTGAATCTGATGTAAGATAAATCAGGTCTTCTTTTTTTATGAGTTCACTATAGTGCTCTGGTTTGATGTGGATATCCTTTTAAGGCAAAGGGAAAGATGTTACTAATTAAAAGGATTTGTGAAAGTTGGATAAAAATAATTATCCTCTTTTCCCAAAACAATCCTATCCAAAAATATTTGAAGTTTGACAGAATACTCTTTAAACAGACTTTGAAAATGTTCATATCATAGGGTATTAAGAAAATAAATGCAGCCATTATGTAATAAGCATGACAGAGAAAGTTTATCACTATAAAAACTTAAAAAGTATAGGAATAGGCTGCTACTTCTTTGAATAAAAAAGTTCCTTAGGGATTGATACTAAAGTCAATCTATTTACATCTTTACAAATTGAGTGAGAACAGTCTGTCCAACAGAAAAATTTATGAGCCACACAATTTTAGTAGTCACATTTTAAAAACTGAAGGAAAAAAACCCAGGTGATATTAATTTAAAATATTTTATTAAACCAATATGCCCATAATATTATCAATAAACATTTCTTAAATTAGGCAGATCTGTATCTGTTACTAAGTCTTTGAAATCTTGTATGTATTTCACATTTTCAGCACATCTCAATTCACAATTCAGACTACCCCATTGAAGTATTCAATAGTCACATATGACTAGAGGTCACATATTAGCACAGATTAAAAGAAACAGAATGCAGGCACTCTTCAAATTTTAAAGTGGCCTCATTCTTACAAATAATGCATAACTAGTTTTCTAGGGAAAAGTTATATAAAGACCTTTAAAACTTTTCCTTTTTTGAAAAATATGTTTTAAGATTGATGGTAAAATAGAAGGCAAGACTTAATGAGAACAAATACAAGTTAACATATAAATCTCTTCTTTAGCATTTCCCATCTGCAACTTTAGATTTAGTTTCAATGACCT